CCATCTTCTTCCTTCATGCTATCAGAAGCTCTACCTCCATTAATGGAGGAATGAGATTAGCTTCCAGCTTCCAGCTTGAATTGCTGGCTTCATCATCTTGTATTGATGATTTCATCACTGTTGATAAAATAATAAACATTTAAAAATAAACTCTATAAAATTGCATGTATTGTAATCAATAAGAAGTGTACAATTTTCTTGATATAACACAATACAGTAAAATAAAGTATTTTGAGGTAAGAATTATTTTCTTCATGGATAAGTGATATTTTAAAGTACAAATGCGGCTTCATTCTCAGCTTCCAAGCATCCAAATACTTCTTTCAGTCTTGAACATATCAGCTTTGAGATGATCTTATAAAGCACATGACAACATGATATTGGTCTTTATTGGCTGGCATTTTGGGGGACAGGAACTTCTGGAATTAAAGATATCATTGTAGCATTAATCTGTTTCAACAAATGTCCTCTTTGAAAAAATTTACTCCAAGCTTTTTTGAAATACATTTCACCTTTTTAGAAGAATATTATTTATACTCATTAAGTCGTAAAAATTATCAAAACTAACCATAAGTTTTTATTAAAAGTCAAATGGATTTTCATTCCAATAATAATTAATAGTGTTCGTGACATTAGAGCAATGTGGTGATTTGGAGCGAGTGCGACACGCATCATTCCATACATCGTGAAGTAGACAAATAACATGACTTTGTTATCATGAACCGATTGTTTATCATTTTCATCAACAATCATACCATCATTAATATTCACTGAATATTTCATCACTACTTTGATGTTAACGTAAAAAATTATATAATTCAACGTAAGCAACTACTATAGAGGGTATTTTTGTAAAAGATAAAAGTTTGAAGTAAAATTTCATTTTTCAAAAGATCTCAAATAGATGAGATTTGGCCCAAATACTAGAAAAAACTAGTATTTGAGAATTTGGGATATTTGCTAAAAATATTTGTCATATAATTGGTAAATTGTATGGACAAACACTATTTGTCAAAAATTTTCTCAAATATTGTTTGGGTGAAAATTTGGCAAATAGTGTTATTTGTCGATACAATTTGTCATTTTTAAACAAATATTTTTTATAAACATACCGAATTCCCAAATACTAGTTTTTTCTAGTATTTGGGTCTAATCTCATTATTTGGGATGTTTTTGAAAATTTAAATTTTACTCCAAATCTTATCTTTTACAAAAACACCCTCTATATTAGTGTTTGCGTTGCATTGTATAATTTTTTATGTGAATATCAAAGTAGTCATGAAATATTCGGTGAATATGAAAATGATGATATGGTTGTTGATGAAAAAGATGAACAATCGGCTCAGAGTAACAAAGTCATGTGCTTTGTCTACTTCATGATATATGGAATGATGTTTGTTGGACTCACTTCAAGCTACCACATTGCTCTAGTGTCATTGACACTCATTATTTGTTGCAATGAATATCCAATTGACTTGTAATATAAACTTATGGTTAATTTTGATAGTTTTTAAAACATATAGATATAAATCATATTTTTCTAAAAAATATATAGATATTTATGATCAAACACATGGTGAAATTTCACCCACATTTTCAGTCTAAGTAATATTTGCCAAAAATATTTTGAAATTCATGGCTCATCTCCAATTGTTGCAAATGTTTGAACTATGAGTCTTCCTCCTTGGGTTTGTATGGACAGGTGTTATCTTCCCATTTAGAGTAGTCATGTTTTGTTTCCCCTTATGTATTCCTTTGTGCTGAACCTTCCACTTCATTCTCCCTTGTTGCTGCGTCTCGAACTTGGACTTCCTGCCCTTCTTTTCCTCATCCCACCCTTGTATTCACATTTGCATCCTTCTTCTTCCGACATTCCCCTTCATTATGCCCGTACTTTTTGCAGTGTATACACAAGGAAGGCTTCCAATCATACAACACTCTTGCTGAACCATATTTCCACATCCATCTCTACTTCAATTAGCAGCCTTGCAAAGTTTAACCCAACTTTCTTCTCTGTGTGTTGGTCCATCATTAAAGGTTTTCCCACTGGACTATCAATTTTATTTAATCCTTTTTGAACTCCAATATTTAAAATCAAGTCCAGGTAGTTTTACCAATATAGGTACTGTAAGTTCATCTCTTGTGAACTCCATGTCTGTTGTCCATATTATCAAAGTGAATGGTTGATATGTTTAACAAAGAAGAGGTACGTGAGACAAGTATGTTGAAGAGAGGAGATAATCACTTGCAGGTTATATGGCGCTACACCAATCCTTTTTATGCAAAATTGGTGTTATACTTGCAGCTTAATTCGCCAATTTAATTTACTTCGTTTTTTGTGCCTTCATTTATATGTTTGTGTTAAATTTACATTGTTGATTCCATTGTGTGCTTACAATGAAATTTATTTTTGTACTTTCCAAAAATAAAATAAGATTTCATTTATGTTTGACATGGTTACTCAAGCATAGAATAGATCACGAATAATTCTTCTACCTAAACAAGGTAAGTGTAATGTTGAATATGTTGGATAAATCTTCACAGAAAATTTGAGTTCATCAGAAGTAAAAATCTCAAGTTTAACAATAATATTGCCAAAATGAGGTTGGTACATATAACCTCGAAATAATCATCTTGTACACACTTATATCATGCAACTCTTCTTCACTAAACATATCTTCCGCCACTATGACTTTCTCCCCGTTATTTTCAAGCACAACAAATATTCATAAAATATTTTATATAAATATCAAACATATTGTTATAGAAGGAGGAGGAGGAGGAGGAACATGGAAGTGTTGTTTGTGTGACCAAATATAGAGAAGATTATGTTTCCTTTGATTCAATTTAGCATGTTACTGGATTTAGAAATGTTCAAAAGTCAAATTAATTAGTTATTCGAAAAATATTTTTTATAAATATCAAACATATTGTTATAGCAGGAGGAGGAGGAGGAGAAGAACCATGGAAGTGTTGTTTGTGTGACCAAATATAGAGAAGATTATGTTTCCTTTGATTTAATTTAGTATGCTACTGGATTTAGAAATGTAAAAAAGTCAAATTAATTAGTTTTAATGTAAATTTGAATTAGTATCTAATATAGGTAAAGTAAGTCTTACAATAATGTGATTTATCATATAGTGTTTGGTAGAATGTGATTTTTCATTTTCAATTGTCCTTGAGCACATTTTTTCTTAAATATTGACCTAATATTACGATCGAAATGTTATGCATCAAAAATAGTCTAAAAAGAAGAAAGAAGCATAGAGTTATATTATATTTTAAAGAAATCTAGCAATTCTATAATTTTAATCCGTTGTAATTTGTTCATTGACCATCAAATATCAATTTTTTGTTAAATTAAAATCCAGTGGGTGACTAAAGATGTTACATTTCCCATTAAATTAGGCTTATATGGGAATTACAGAGTTTAATCTATTATTTTATTCCAAAATAGAGAAGAACCTAATCAATTTTTTGAAAAGGGAAAATTATGCAACACAGAGAAATCTTAAATAATTTACCAAAAAATAATCTCAAAACACACCTAAAAAAAAGAAAAGAAAAAAAGTGGACGTACCAGACAAGAAGTAACATGCTCGATTTCTTGATTTTGACCACTCAAAAATTTGCTTTCTGCGGATGAATCTGATGACAAACAAGCATTATGTATCATTTGAATTGAAAATCAACTATTAGAATATACAATTGAAATAGAAGAGAGGCGCTATTAATTTCTTATGAATCTATCTAAAGCATCTATGAATTTGAGGGATAAAGACATACCTTTTTTATGTTTTATATGTGTATGAAGAACATGAATTGATGGATAGAGGAGAGATCTTTTCGATGTTTTCTATGTGGGTGATGGACTAAAATTTGGGTGATAAAAGTCTTTAGGTTGGTATTTATGGATGGAATGATGTGAGATGTTTTTTAGGGAAGGGAAAAAATATTTATTGTTTCCTCCCTCTTCAAATACTAGATAATAAAAGGCCCGTATAGCCCAATAGTATAATTTTAAATGAAAAGTTTACATAAATATAATATATTAAGAAAATATTTACCAATTCATGGAAATAACATTTTTCTTCACTTAATCACTCCTAATACATTTAAAATCATATATTTACATAAAAGAGAATCCTAGGCTCGCCTACGTGGCATCACCACAAGCTGGAATTTTCTTTAAAATTTATTTATATCCAAAATTAGTCTTCTTTTTCATGAAAATTTGTGACTTTTATGAAATTGTGACTTTTACGAAACGGTGCAACTTTTATGAACAGTTATAACTTTTATAATTAGTTGCGACTTTTATGAAAAGTTACAACTTTTATGAAAGGTTGTGCCCTTTCTGAAGGGTTATAACTTTTCCAAAGAGTTATTACCTTTTCCATAAGGTACAATAAATATTTGTTCACACTATCTTTTGTTTTCTATAAATAGAGGGATTTCATCTCATTTTATAGTAACTAAAATTTTGAAATTCTTCTTATGCACAATTCAATATTATTTTTGTTTCAACACACTACTGAATAGAATCGCTCTATCATGAGAGGATTTATTCATTTAAACCTCGAGTACTAAAGGAGAATAATTTTATTAAAGGGACACTCTGCATTCAATTGGCTCAATTTTTTCTTTCTTTTTCATTATATTACAGTTCCTAATATGTTTGTTTTATATTCTGTTGTTTATGTTTCTACAAAACTATTGTTACAAGTAATTGTTAGTACATCTTAAACAACACGCGTTAATTGAGTATTCACACAAGTTTTCTCTACTGAAATTGTAATTTCAATTTGAACTTTATTACTCCAGTATGTTGATTTTTAAAAAATACCCAAAAAACTTAATAGTTTTATGTAATATGTTCCCTTTCACGTATATATAATAAGTTGAATTATTTTCCTATATGAGACATTCTACCTTTAATTTTTCATTTTAATAATTACTCATGATATATTTAAATTGGGAAATTTACAATGATTTATGTCAAGCAAACAATATAGTTGAACATTCTACAAGTTAGAATAAGAATGTTTGTTCACTCTGATCAAGCTTTTAAAATTTATCATCCCTTTACCAATGATTATTTATTTATTATAAAATTTTATATCGTCGGTTGATGATCATTTGATTCCCCAAAAATATCAAGTGTAACACTTCTTGGAATCAAAAGGATAAATTATTAAATCATATTTAAGATGATTGATTGAAGGATAAATGATAAGATGTTATAATTATCATTTTGTTAAGGAGTAGATATTATGTCCTAATATCTTGAATTTGTAAACAAAGGATTCATTACTGTTATCGAAATGCTAGATTCTCTAGTTACACAACTATCAAGAAAAATGATTACAGAATAATGAAAAAAATTAAGTCACATCTAATTTCATTGTAATTTGTATGTGTATAAATAAGATAAAGTGTATTTAACTCAAGAAAGAACACTATTTTTCTTTGAATTGGCGAGGAAAACAGAACATCCACCGTTCAATCACTATATATTTTCTTGGACAATTTCAATAGAAGCGAAGACAATGAACCAGTTTTCATCTCCATGCTCCTGCTCTTTTAAACATAGGAATTTCATTCTTATAACTACTTGTCATCTACTCCCAACTTTTCCACTATTGAGTTTATGTGATTACTATTAGTCGATTCTAAGCTAAAGTCATTTCATTGACAAAAGGAGGCAGTCTGAGTGAAGCAAAAAATATTACATGGCAGATTAGGAACCTTCTAGCGTCTAAAAATGATATCCATATGCAGTAAGTCATTAAGAAACTATTTCACCATTTTCTAGATCTAAGAATACCAATATGGACTTGATGTCCCTATAGTTTGGACATCAAAAGCAACAACAATTGATTTTTGATTATGAAATATTAATATGGATGTCTCAAATTTTCTCTATGATGTATAGTTAATCCTTCACTGCATACATCATAATGAATATAACGTTCACAACCTCTAAATTTTACCATAATCTTCCATGTTAATGTGATGTTATAAGACCCGCCTACGTGGTGCCACCGCAAACCAGAATTTCCTTTTAATTTATTCTATTTCCAGAACTAGCCTTCTCATTTCATGAAAAGTTGTGAATTTTATGAAAAGTTGTGACTTTTATGAAAAAATTACAAATTTTATGAAAAGTTGCGACTTTTATGAAAATTTGCGACTTTAATGAAAAGTTGTGACTTTTTATGAAAGGTTGTGACCTTTTTGAAGGGTTGTATTTTTTCAAAAAAATTGTGACATTTACGATAAGACACAATTATTCACACTACCTTTTGTTGTTTATAAATAGAGGAATTCCCTCTCATTTTAAAACAACAAAAATTTAACTTCTTCTTCTGGACACTTGAATTATTGTGTACTATTCTCCTATTGAATGACTCAGTCATTCCATTGTTTTTGTACAATACACTGTTAAATATAATCGTTTTATCCTGAGAGGTTATATTCCTTGAGTATTGGATACTAGAGGGGGATAATTTCCTCAAGGGGACATTGTGCATTTAGTGGACTAGATTTTTTCATTCTATTTCATTGTATTGTTACGGATCTTGATATGTTTTTTACATGTATCAATTTATGTTTATATCATTAATTGATATGTTTAGTACACGCTTTAAAAAATTATGTTTCTGAAAAATTATTGTTATAAGTATTTGTTAGTACAGATTAAATAACAAACGTTGATTGAGTATTTGAGCAAGTTTTCTATACTAGAATTGTTGAAGGTAGAATAAAAAATCCCTTACAAATCTCTAATTTCTTCATCAACAACATCATTTCCTTACGTACAAGAATGACATTTTGTGTTCTTCAGAAAATCCTTTAAGAGTAAATAACTTTGAATGTCCATATCTTTTTATTTTTATGTTGTTTTTATCTATTTTCACTAAATTTTATCAGTGGATATTATGAGTACTTAAAGAACTGGAACTTGATTGAAGTGTTAGTCAATTTTTTTGATGTGTGTTATTTCTAAACACGAGAACTTTTTTGGTCAAAATGATTTGTTATCGTTAATGGATATCTCATAGTTTATGCCCTTTAATGTATGTTTTTTTCTCGTTGTTTTGTTGTCTCCATAAAATGGTATTGATCATTTTTCGTTTTGTATGTATATGATCTCAATTGGACAAAGTTTTCGTCCTTTTTATCTTTTTCTCTTTTTTTTCCTTTTCATTCAGCTCTTCTAAATATTTTTGTGTGAGTTGTGACTATTTTTGGCAAGCTTAATTTGAAGAATATGAAACAAAACCTACTCTTAATACAAGTAATATTTGCACCTACAAAAGATATGTCTTTTGACATAGATTATTTGTCATTAATGTACCAAGTCATTGTTGAGCCTTAGAGTTATCTAGGTTATACTCATTTTTAATATTTTAACGTTCAAGAATATTTCTTCAAAATGAGTCTAGAATCCTATGTTTTGATCAACTTGTACTTTCATAATGCAAAAATTATATGTAATATCTCACAATTAGAAAGAACTAGAAAAAAGTTTAAAATTTTAAAATACTTATTTTTGAAAAGAATAAGAAAATGTGGAAATTTTAAGTAAGTTAAAAGGTGAGTTTATGGTCAACTTCAAACGCACATAGCTTCTAACACAGGATGATTTATGGTTATCTCTAGATATGATTGGAAAGCGCTTGGAATAATCTTTCCAACGCCCTCCGTGTTTGCGCAATTACAAGTTTGGATGAGTGAGTTATACCTTTCGAAAGTTGGGTTGTTGGATTAAGAAAATCCCAATCCGGATTCGGGAAGGGCAAAGTTATCTTTTCCTTACCTAATTAAATTGATTCGTTTTTAGGAATTATTTGGGGTAAAACAAGACCTTTGTTCAATTTAGAAAAATAGAATTCATGCTAGGGCTTGGAGAAGAGAGAAAAGAGGAGAGAAATCAAGAATCTCCAAGAACGCTAAAGCTTAAGCGTGGAATTCGTCAGCGGTGAACCCTAAAAAGGTATGTGAGATCACATAGTGTTGGGTTAGTTCACCCACACGCTAATCTTATTTCAATTCAACGAATTTAACTTGTTAGAATACAAAAATGTAAGTTCTTGAACAACGTTGTTGAAAATTAGTTGAGTTCTTGATGGTTGTGTTGCTGAAGTCTCTTGTTTATTTGATTTATGTTTTCGTGTGTAATTTCGGGTTGAATCTATTGTATATTGGTGTTATTAATGATTCTAAGTGTTGGGTCAAGAACCACGGAAGTTTAGAAGGTTAAGAGATGAAAAATGAAGGAGAAAAGTTGAGAACAACTGGTCAGGGGGTTAGGGTGTCGCGCCTCTCAAAGCCCCACAGACCAATCTCTTTCTGTAGGACCTTGGGGCGTCGCGCCAGCCAGAGTACCCCACCTAGCTCTCTTTAATTTGAGGGCGCCTCGGAGCGCCACAGACACCAATTCTCCATATTTTCCCCCACTTTTTCGTACTAGTTCCTAAGCGATGTACCTGTGTTTCTTAGTTGATTCCAACGCTATAAGGTACATCTAAACATCATGAGATCATCCATAAAATGAGATCATGAACCTTGAATCCATAACCCAATTCAAGAAAAATTAAGATCAAACTCAAAGAAATTAAAAGTCAAGTCTAGAAGTTAAAGAGCAAGTCAAAGCAAAGTTCTTAAAAGTTTTTAAGAGTTTTTAGCAATATTTAACTTTGTTTTTAAGACTTAAGAGTTGATTTAAGTAAAGAGTAAAGTTGAATTTCTTTCTTCAAAGAAGTATATGGGGACTATGTACTCCCAAAGAGGTTTAGAAGAAATGTTTTCAAATTTAAACAAGAATGGAAGTTGGGATTTTTAAAGAGCCTTTGGGCTAGTTTTAAGAAAAAACTACAACTTCCTAAAATGAAGCAAGCAGGAAAATGAGATTTCCAAGATAGCCTCTGAGCTAAGTTTG